TTTAGAAATCAACTCCAGATGATGTGATGCTGTCATCATATCTAATGATACAAATGTTTATCCTTTTTAAGCATGTCTCAAGTGCTGAAGCTAATCTGCAAGTATCAGTAAGTTTTGAATGGTTTGTTTCTTTTTTGTGACTGTGGAAAAAATGCCCAGTTCTTCCTAATGGTAGAACTAAGTAAGGGGCTCGAGCTGTAAGCCAAGTAGACTAGGCTCAAATGTGACAACCATCCTGCAAACATTTTCATGATTTTAAAAAGCTGTGAAAAAAGTTGCTGGAATACTTTGTACTGTGGGTGACAGTGCATGGCTGTTTTCGTATTTTCCTTTTTTTTCCTTTACAAGTCCAAGTAATCAAAATACTACATATAAACCGCATGTAAAAGTACAATACAGAGCTACATGTACATAAGACTACTTATTATATGGCTAGCTCTGTGAGCGGGCAAGATGAATCAAATCCTGCGCTGTGATTGGCTACCCGAGCAGGCAAGATGGAGCTATCTTGCCTGCTCGGGACTACCCGCCATGTCCCGCAAGAAAAATTTCAGCGAAAGCCATATAATAAATCCTTTATTGACCAAGCTTGTTCGGTCAAAATGGCTGGATATTAGCCTCGTTCTTTTTTGGGAGTTTATGGACCTCGACTCTGTCTCAGTCCATAAACACACAAACAAAGAACTTGGCCAATATCCAGCCATCTTGACCTCACACTTGGTCAATAACCCATACTTACAGTATGTTGACACGTTGAAAAACAGACAATCTGATGGCATTTAAAAGAGAGGTTAAAAAGGTAACGACAGTTGCCGTTCTACAAGTTGGAAAAGGGTTGTCCTTTTGTTGTAGTGAAACTGAATGAAGTTTATCATTCTTTGTTGCCATTGACAGCCTTTTGATTTTTTTCAGTAGGTGTTAAGTCTGGGCCACTAAGACAAAATTGATTGATATATGTTTCGTCCATAGGGGAGAGGTAACTTCAAGAAGAGAGCTTCACGTGGTGTCAGTACAGTGATGCACCATGCTTACATGAACATGACTAGGTTTGTGTGCAGCATGGATGAGAAGTGTCAGGTGTTCTTCTCCATTTATGATGCGAGGGAAGGACGTTTCATCAGGTACATAAATTGTATTCTCAAGAAATAATTAATATTAATTTTTGGCTCATTACTGCAGAAGTTAAAAAAATTCTCATTAAATACTGTTTATGTAGCTGCTAGTGATGGTTTTCCTCTCTTGTTACTTCCCCTCCATTAAATGCAACTAGCATCATTACTGGGGTGTCCTGTAAACTGGTTTGTAATGGTGATGTATACAGTGGAATCCCAATTTTTCAGACCTCCAAGGGAACCAAAAATTGGTTTGAAAAATTGGATAGTTTGACGAATTGGGGGTAAAATTACAGTGTTCAACTGAGGAGGGGAAATGACTTTTGGTTCGAGTTATCGGGAAGTTCGAATTAAATGAGAGTTTGAGACATTGGGATTCCACTGTTAGTAGTTCTTTAAAGCAGCCACTGCGAACGACACAAACCAATGGTGAATCTAGGGAGGGTCTGGGGGGCCTGCTCCTCTCACTAGGCAAAATACTTAAGGGCTGAAAATGTTTTGGGTCCCCAGCTTTATTTGAGGCCCAAAGGACCAAAAACAAATTAAGTTGCCCATTCTACAAAGATATCTGGACCTACCACTGCAAGCACCAGACTGTGCCCTTGTGGTGATGTCAGTGGTCATGATAGGCACACAAGCACCTGTTGATATACAATTCTTACATGTATCCTTGTCATGAATCAGAAAGTAATTTTTGTCATATTTTTTCTTGTGCAGCGAGAGATTTCTAGTTGCTATCAGCAAGAGTGATAGTACACTAAAGGTGAACCAACCCCAGAGGTTTGAAAACTCCACCTGTGTTTTTACTGTAAGTATACACAGTCTGTGTCAGTTTCAAGGTGTAAATAATTCACTATTGAAAGTCCTTGTTAAAATTCTGTCATTTTGTCTTTAAATTACATGAATCTGCAAAAAGGACTACAATTAGCAGTAATGAATATGATCATCAATTTTGTTTAGTAGGACACTAATGAATAGTCATGCCACAAATGTCCACATGTTCTGTGGCTCTTTATAATGTAGAACTTAAAGGTTTTTGTTAAAAGTTATGGGATTATTTTGCAGGACCTAGGGAGTAAGGACATCTCTGCTGAAGCCTATCTTGTAGCTCACATTGTGAGAGTAGGTACGTGACATCTGAGGGATCTGCTACACTCAAAGATTCATTGATATTGTCATGTGTGGAATTTTTGCCTTGTTGAGTAGGTTCATTGTCATTACCTCATCTTTCTTTACCCCCTTTTTAGTGCAGAGTGCACTATTGGGATGGTTATGGGAGCTGCCTGCCGCTAAGGAACTAAGGCG